GGGGCTGTGACAGCCAGGGAGGTGCTGTCTGAGTGGAAAACAAGCCCTCACTCGGGCTGTGCTCCAGCCAGGGACAGGACCTGACACCCAGGTGCTGACCACATGTACACTGATGTGTTTATGCCCAAAGCTTCACAGGAAAAATGGGGACAAACCTGTCTGTTTGCTGGGAGCACTGGTGTGCAAAGCAGCTTGTGGGAGGGATGTAGCACAAAGAATGGATCCAAGGATAAACTCTGGAGGGTTTATTCACTGATTTATACACCTCAAGCCTGAAGGCTCATCCTTCCACAAATCAGGCTGCTGTACCAGAGCAAGTCTGGTTAGAGGGTGGGAATGCCTTGGAGTTACAGTGCATGTAAGGATTTCTTTTGCTTTTCCCCAGAATGGATCTATCCCCTAATAGAGGGAATGTGTACTCAATGCAGGTGGTTTTGTAACTGTGACTGGCACAGGGCTGGTGGCTGACTGGCCACGGGCAACATCCCACTGTCCCTGTCCCAGTCCTGGGGGCTCCTTGCATCCATATCCTGGGACATGCAGTGTCAGAGTAGTGCTGAGGGGCAGCTGTGAACAGAGCTCTGATCTGCTTTTACCAGTGTGCTGAGTGTCTGTGTTCACAGCTGGGGTTCAGATCCATGTGGCTGATTCTGGTTTTTATGCTTAACTCCCCCAAACAGGTCTGCCCTTGGTCCAGTTATCTCACTGGAGCATGTTCTCCGGACTTCACCAAACACCCTGTAATACAGTAAGACTTCTCAGTTATGTGAAATCTCAAATAACCAGGATTTGGGTTGGTTACAGCTGTTTTATTGACTTACAAAGCTAAGGCACATCTAATTATGTAGGACAATGTGGCACATCCATGTCCCTTGGCACGGGAGAGCCTGGTGCAGCTGGAGGGGTGTGGGGGTCCATTGGGGAGGCTGTCCTGTCCCTTCTGCCCTGCTCTCAGCTATGGGGCACAAGAAACTACAGCCCAGCCCCTCCTGGCAGGTCAGTGCAGAGCCACGGGGTGGGGGACAGGCTTTGTGCTTTTCTCCAGCAGTCCCAAAGTCTTTGCTTTTGCTGCATTTCACCCTGAGAATTGCACAGGGTCACACACAGTGCTCTGCCCACCAGTTCAACCTGATTTCCTTGCAGATTTAAGAAGGATCGTGCCAACTATTCTCTAAACACGGATGACCCCCTCATCTTCAACTCCACCATTGACAAGGACTATGGCATCGTGAAGGAGCACATGGGATTCACTGAAGAGGAGTTCAAGAGAGTTGTAAGTTGGCCTTGGCTGGGTGCTCTGCTGGTGTCTCAGTGCAGCCCAGAACAACCTGCTGGTTTTTCTTTATAAGCTGAAGAGTTTTTAATGGAAACCAGGAAATTCCTCTCTGGCCTTGTAAGCAAGAAAGTAGGACCAGGCTCAAAGTACACATCCCAAAAATTCCTGAGTATTTAGACATTTGCTTTGTGCTGGTCTCATTTCTCCTGGGACTACTGCTAGTGATGGGCCAGAGCAGTTGGCATAAAATAAAGCCATGGAGATGAATCTGAGAGTGGAAACTTTACCCTCTCCCTCGCCTGCTGCTGCTCAGAGCCAGGTGCTGGGATGTGCACAACTGTGTGTCCACGTCTGATGTGTCTTAATGTCCCTGTGTTCCCCCTCTGCCTCCTCAGAACATCAACGCAGCCCAGTCCAGCTTCCTACCCGAGAAGGAAAAGCAGGAGCTGCTCAGCAAGCTGTGTGAAGCCTATGGGATGGTCCCCAGCGCGTCGTGAGCCGTCCCTGGCAGCCAGCCTGGAGTGGGGCCCTTCTCCACCAGAGCCTGGCTCTGCTCTGTGCCAGTGGGAGCACTGGCAGGAGGTGCCCAGGGTCACTCTCTGCTCCTGGCAGCCCTGTGTTGACCCTTACAGTGCTCATCAGAATCAGATATCACACACACCTGCTTGTGCCCCACAATCTCTCTCCTGAGTGGATCTCCAGCTTCCTGCCCTGCTGCTGTGCAAGCAGACTGGGTCTGCCTGCTGGCCTGACTCCCTCCTCCATCTGCTGGGGCTTCTGTGCTGCAAATGCAAACAAAAGAGCCTCCCTTATGGTTTTTATCCTCCCCTCTTTCCCTGTCCTGTCCCACTGACCTGCCTGGCCCCTGCCTGCAGTGCTGAAATGACCACTCTCAGCTCTGGCTGTGGCCTGGGTTAATCTTCACCTTTCCAGGGAAGAGGTGTGCTAGTGCTGGCAGGGAGCAAGCAGCCCTCTCAGACACAGAGCCTTTATTCTTGTCCCTGTGGGTGGGAGGCTCTGGTCACAGCTATATTTACCCAGGGTTAGTCTTGTACTAACAAGACTGGAACAAGAACAAGCTGCAAGCTGGTGCCCCTGCCCGTGCACAAGGCTGAAGGGCATTTAAAACAAAATACCTTTTTTTTTTGGCGTCCTTTCCTGCAGAGGAACTCCCATGTATCAGGCCTGCCAGTGTCACTGCTGCAGAAGTGCACACCTTGGGCTCAGCCCCAGCTGTGCTCACAGCTGGCCATGACCATGTTCGCACATGCAGAGGAAGTTGGAACAGAATTTCACCACTTCAGGCCAAAATCTGCCTTCTGGGATTGTCCCCACTTTTTTAATCTTGGAGAACTCCTGTGAACTGCAGTTTGATCTTCCTCTTACCTTTGTTTAGGACTTGGAAAAAACGATTGATTGCCTGGTTTAACAATTCTGCCCTCTTTCTGATTTGACACAATCATTAGGCACTCTTAAGGCTGAATAAAGGAATTAACTTGGACCCAATGTCACACTGACTCAGGTCCCTCTGATTGCTTCTCTCACTCAATTATGACACTGGCTAGAAGTCAGATCTTCAGTTTGGTGTAGAATTTATGCAGAGAAACTCACCAAAATTTCTTTAGTGATTTTATGGCATTATAGTGTTTTTACTCAATAAGCAATAGAGCTGTGCATCCAGAGAAGAGACCATTGTTTTCTTACCTGAGTGTGTGGTGTGCTTTAGCATCCCAGGGCTCTGCCAAGATGCTCACTCCAAAGATACTGTACCAAAAAGTTGCCTTTGAAAAGGGGCCATGGTCACCATTGCCACGGACAGACCATGGGCTGGCCCAGTCTCAGCCAGCAGTGATGGTGTGCTGGGACCATTTCCATTCTTCCTGGGCTTCCATGTTGCTCTTCAGAGTAAAATACTCATCTCTGAAGTACATGGTGCATATATACACATAGATAGATAAATGAAGATGAGAGAGTGATTTTCTTACTTTTATAAAGCAAAAGATAAAGTATCACTTTTAAGGACATGATTGTGGTAAGAAACAGGTTTTGGGTCATTTTTCTCCAACAATTGTTTCTGAAGAAGAGTTGCTTGGATTTGGAGTCTGGACAGTTGATTGTTAATCCTGTTTAATAAAATAACAAATTTATATTAAAAGGGAAATCCTTGTGCCTTTCTGTTCAAGGTGACTGCTAGGGACTGTGCTCTGTAGTGTCCAAACCCTGCTAGGGGTTCACTGATGGGTGTGATGGGGGCTTTGGTAGCTTGGTTGCTGCCTTCTCCTGTTGCCAGGTTGGAGCACTTTGCCAGGCAGAGGGAAGCCTGCTCCCTTGCCAAGCAGCCCAGCTGGATTTATGGCTCCAGGTTGTTCCAACCTGCCCTGTTCCTTTCCCTGCAGTCACGCAAGGGGTGTGTACCACTGCTGGAGCAGCAATGCCATCACAGGGTACTCTCACCTTTCCAGGTGTTTATCAAAAATAGTAATTTTTTTTCCTGCCTCCTGGGTTTTGCACAGCTGGCTGATGCTCAAAACCAAAGAGGGGCACTGTGGGCTGCACCAGCAGTGTGGGCAGGGGAGTGTTTGTCCAAAGGTTTTTGGGTTATTTAGTGCTTGGTTAGGCTTTGCCAGCTCTGGCATGCCCGTGTTCAGCTGGAGAGCAGGGCTGGGAGCATCCCTGTGCTCAGCAGCTTTGCAGGGCAGGATGTGGCTGGATCAAGGCAGTGCCCTTGGTCTTTCAGCACACTCAGTGACAGTGGCTGAGCTGGCTGTCACTCGCAGGGGGAACCTGATGCCTCTCACCCATCCCCTGAGAGAAGCTGGCCAGCAGGTCCCTACTCCTCTGCCTAAATATAATTCTGAAACAGATATTTTCTGACCAGGGAGAGCTAAGATTAGCCCACATTTGACTGTTGGAGGTCTATGTGGTGCTCAGTCCTTCTGCACTGCCTTTCAGCTCTGCGTGTGTGTCAGCAGGAGCCAAAATTACTGTTCTGTGGCAAGGAGAGCTGGAAATGGGGCTCAAAGACACAACTGTGCAGTCAGCCAGGTCCAGGAGCTCCCTGCTGGTTTGCCCCTGGGCACGGGAAGTGGGAGCAGGCTCTTGGCTGCTATCCAGGCATGGCTCTGCAGTGACACCCAGCCAGCCCAGGAGCCCTTTGCCAAAGCAGCAGCCACAGCCACTGCCTGGCTGCCAAATCCTTGTTTCCTGTGGGGGCTGGAGCTGTGGACACCTCTGTGCTCACCCCATGGCCATCACTTCTCACAGACAATTCTCCCTCTGTCTGGCAGCCATTCTCTGCTGATTTATGGCCTTGCTTTGGCTGATAAATCTCAAACTTGTAACATTCAGCTCTTCTCCAGGCTGCCAGGGAGGTGATTTGTCACCAGTGAAGAGTTTCCCAGGTCAGCTCTGCCCTGTCCCTGTGCTGGTGGTCAGTCCCATCAGGCTGCTCCACTGGGATCAGTGAAACACCAGCAATGTTCCTGCAGTTCTGTGCTGCAGAGGGAAAACACCTCTTCCCACTGAATCCTGCTGGTTCCTGGGCAGAAAACCTGGGAAATTTGGGACAGAATTTTATAATCTGTGCCCAGCAACATCAGCCTCTACTGTGTGCTGCAAACCTATGGGTTTCACAGACCAAACTCAGGGGACTCTTCTTGCACAGCCCCGTGTCTCCCCATGAAACCACCCTGCAGCTGAAGGCAAAACAAAGGAAGAAGAAACATCCAGGCAGAAAAAAAACACCTTCAGTACTTGAAGGCTGTGTCATTTATTCCAACAGCTTATGTAGTTTTATCAAACCATCTTTAACACAAAACATGTCTCCTTAAAGACAGAAGGGTGTGAGATCCTACCAGAGATCATCTCAGCTAACAGCTTGCAAAGTTAAACCTGAATGTCAACAGTCAAACCAGCAAAATGTTTCTCCCCTCCCCTTAATAACATCTTGAAGTGTTAAAACCTGAAGAAAAAGATGCCAGTGGCTGGTGCTGCTGGGTCTCCAGGTGGGGCTCGTCCCCACAGAGCTGTGCTTTGGTCCTTTCCTGATGCTAAGCAGCAGCAGCAGCAGCAGCACAGGTGAGTCGTGCTCACGTGAGGGCAGCAGGACAGGTCGGGTCCTTTCCCCACTGCCCACCCTGACGAGGGCAATGAGGACAATCCAGAGGCCAGGTCTAAGATGCAGATGAGGGTGAGGCTTAGAAAAACCAATAATCTAAATTTCTAATCTATGGAAACGGAATAAATAATAGTCTAAACCTGCAAAGGAGGAAGGTACCTTGGACAGGAAAATCTCGTGTGTCTATTATTACTGAAACTGTTTTTCCCCTAAGAGAAAATTGCAGCTAAGGCATCTTGAGAATGGCTCATATCACTACAACCATGGCAGTGTTGCTCAAAACCATCAGGGATGGGGGCAGAAGTCTTTTGGAGGTGCCAGTCCTTGCAAGTGTCTCATGTCTCCCTACACAAGCACGGTTCCAGCAGAGGCATTTGACAGACAACTTGCTGCTCCAGGTTGGCTTTTGTCCAGAGATTCAATCAATTCTTGTTTAACGTTCACAGCAAGGCCCTCCTCCTGCCCATCCCACACCCTTTTTGCTCTCAGGGGGAGGGGCTGCTTTCTTGCCCCTTTGGTCTTGCTCCAGGGTCGCTGTCAGAAGAACTGGCATCTCTTTGGCTTTCTGCAGAAGGGAGGATTGGGAAGACAGCACAGTTACACACCGCTGAAGACACAAGCCAAAAGTGATTGCTATAGCTGATTTCATCCAAAGAGACAAAAGATTTTTGCCTGAAGGTCTATCACTACCCTCCTGTGACCAGATACTTGGTCGCATGGGAGTGCTCAGGGCCAGGCGGGATTGGACTGGGAGGTCTCATGGAAGGTGTCCCTGCCCATGGCAGGTGGTCTTTAAGGTCCCTTCCAAACCAAACCATTTCCTATGATTCTATGATTAAGAGTATTGGGTTCTCCCTCCACATTCCTGGAGTACAAACACTTCCCAACACACCTGGCAATGCTGAGAGGGAGCCTCAAGGCAGGGATGTGCACTCACCCAACTTTCAAGTGTTCCAGAACTGTATTCCTGACAGCCTGGCAGCTGCCTGAGCTGCTCTGGTAAAGCAGCTCCAATCTGTGCTTACTATGGATGGGTGGATGGTGGTATGGTCATGCTGAAAGAAGTACAGTTGGGGTAATGAATGTATTTTAAAGTGTTTTTATAATTACAGGTTGTAGGCTAGAGATTAAGAAAGTAAGGGGGAAAACTGAGTTTCCCTTCTGCAGTGATAGTCTGTGTTGTGTTGCTAATTAGTGAAATGGAGTGGCAGCTTTGGACAGAGGAGTTGTGCTCCTCTCAGCCTGCTGGCCAGCAGACACTGAGCAGGGTGATGCTGCTGCCACATTTGGGCTGAAGGGGGGATTTGGAGATGGCTGCTGGTGTGAAAGTTATTTCTGTTGTTGCTTGAAATACTGCAGAACTATTTAAAGGTTGATTTTTTTCACAACCAACCAAAACAGAAAAAACAAACCACAACCCGCCCATACATTATTTTTATAAAGCCTAAGGTATAACTGATGTGTAACTTGCTCTGGGAAGGGTCTTGGTCAGTGCATGCCTTGTTTAAACACCTGTGAGCAAAGGGCCTGGGCTGGAGCATGCAGTGCCAGGAACCAGGGATGGTTCTGCTCACTGCAAGCACCCCTTGACCTGGAGAGTCTCCCACCACATGAGCATGAAGGCGCTGAATGAGCAGTGGGGAATGAGATGTTCCTCCTGAGCATCAGCGTGGTGCTCCCGGAGACAGCACTGCTCATTTGTGCTGCCCTCCCAGCCTGTGCCAGGAGCTGCTGGGCTTGCAGGTGAGTGTGTGTGTGAGCTCACCTGCTCCTTCGACAGCGAGCTCGCCCATGTCCTGGGTCAGCTTGCGCATGCTGATGGTGGTGGCCTCTCGCTGGATGTCATGGACAGCGTTCCTGCGGCCAGCCCGGTCGCAGGAGATGAAGTCAGTGTAGGTGCTGGACTCTACCTCCATTGCATCTCTGTTCACTTGCAAAATGCTGTGGAGAAAACACAGCTGTGAGGCCCAGGGGGCTCGGCATGGCTCCCTCCAGGCTAGGTTACAGCAGGAGAGAACAGCGCCTGTAACTCTGCTCCAGCTCCTCGGACAGCAGGTGCTGAAATGTCAGATATCACCTCCCTCATGTGGGGCAATGAACACCATGCTAGGTGACCCACTGTGCAGGAAGGACCCATGCCAGATGTCTGACTTGTTCTGCCTTCCTCCTGCAAAGGCAGACACGGTGTTTGTCTCTCCTGTGGGTTTCCAGCCTTCTCCTTTGGGCACACAAGGTCGCTTGCAGCAGCTTTTCCCTAGAAAAGTACAGAGAAAGCCCTGCTTCCTTCTCAAAATGCCACTGGAGCTTTGAACCCAGGCCAAATTTGGCTCACTGCTTGGGGGATGGGGTGGTGATCCAACCTGAATTTGTAATGGGAAATGATGGATACCCATTGGGAACTTGGGGGAGCAGGGAGTATTTTATAGGGACGGGGCTTGGAGCAGTACTGGCCTCCTCTGGCTGTTGGATGTCACTGAAGAAGCATTAGGCTGGACTGCTGTGAGATAAACACTTTACCATGTGAAAATCAGCCCTTGTGAGACATTTGGATCCCTTCACTCCAGACTTGTGCCAGTGCCAAGTGCACAGCACGAAGAAAGGCCCGGAGCAGCCACTTGTCACATGCGAGCTCTGCTGTGAGCCAGCTCTGAGTGCAGCTGATGAATCCTTAACTTGCTGGGTTTTCATTCTGGCTGCTGGTTCCCCTTGCTAGCACAGCACACAGAGTGCAGGGAGCAGGGATGGTGTTGTGGGCATCCTGGCTCCAGGGCACAGAGCTGGCAAGCACACACTGCCTCTGCACAGGAAACCTGGAGCTCTCAGTTCCTGCTCCTGTTTGGCACTTAGTTTGTTTTACTGTGTGGAATTAAAAAATTAATTGCTGTCTTATCTGTGCCTCTGATCACTGTAAAATGTGCCTCTAGCCCTGCTGATTGCTGGCAGTGCTTGGAGCAGGCCCCGATTAGAAACGCTCGTGTGCAGTGAAAACAAATTCATGCACATTTAATGCACATTCACTCGCTTTTGTGCCTTGGAGTTAATGGCCCACAGAGGAGTTTGCTCAGCTTCCTTTACAAATCCTGCTTGATATTGATTTCCCTGCCAGGGAAATCTGTTGGCAGATTCAGGCACCAGCCTGAACAGGAATCACACTCCTCACTTTAATGTTGTGGCAGTAGAAAGGATATGCAGATGAAGATGCAATAACTGGGATGAAAGAGGTTAGATTCTCTCTGTTCCTGAGCTGAGCAGGGTGCAGTAACCAAAAACCCATGGAAACCCAGCATGTTTTGGTAGCCCCGGGCACTCCTCTCCTAGAGTGGATGCCAGCTCAGGGAGTGCTGGCCCCAGGTCCTGTGGGATGTGGGGCTTGGCCCACCCAGATCTTGCAGAAGATCCTGTTTCCCCAAAGCTAACAATTCTTGTGAACACCTGCCTCCTCTGCATGCATCTAGCTGCTGTTAAATGAGCCCTGCAAAAAGCTGCATCCTTTGTCCCAGGAAGAGATGCTCCAGGTGTTTTTCCTCATCTTCCCTCCTTCCACCCCTGGTGTGCCTTTCCTGGGATAAGGCACCTACTCTGGATGAGCTCAGTGAGCAAAGTGCCTTTTCCCCAGGACAGGACAAGCATCCAGCGTTCCCAGGCAAGCTCTCACAGGTCACTGAAGCCCAGACTCTGCTGACTTCTGCAGCCCCAGGGAGAGCCCATGTGGACTCGGGAGGCTTCCCTGGAATGGAGCCAGAGAAGGCCAGGTCCATCTCCAGCAGCGAGGCCATTCCAGAGCCATTCCAGTCCTGCTGCCCTTGTACCAGGGGCAGGAGCAGCAGCTCTCCCAGGCTGGGGAGCCGAGCCAGCCCCAGGGATCAGCATTCTCCCGGTGTCCCTGGATGTGGCTGCCAGGGCAGTGCTGTGCCAGTCACTGTGTGCCCTCACAGGGGAAAAGGATGCCATCCTGACCAAAAGCAAAGGCAGCAAGTGTGCAGCTCCGGTCCCGACCGTGTGGCCGGGAGATGGCGCAGGGGATTTATTTATTGCCGTGGCTGGGAGGGCTCCTGCCTCCGGCTCTCCGAGCAAAGAGACAGGCAGATTTAACAGCGAAACTTTCATATCTGAGCAATTCCTCCGGGATTTTCAAGGTGGGTGGCTCTCAAAACCCTCAGGCAGATCCCTCCCCGCTGGCAGAGAGATTCCAGCCTCCGCCTCCGGGAAGCTGTGGGGCTGAGAGGGTGATGGGAGCAGCTGCCTCGATTGTGACAGGAAAACCTGATTTTTCAAACAGCATTTCCATGCTTCCAGGCACAGAACCTCCAGTTCTGTGGGTTTTCACTCAGTAACTGCTTTTAACATCTCCCAGGAACTGCAAAGGATCTGTCTTCCCTCTTGCCTACCTAGTTCAGGCTGTGTCACTGCGGACAGTCACTCAGGGTGGCAGGGGTGCAAAGGGAGTGCATCACTGCTGGCTGCCCACCTTTGCTTTTTCATTCTCCCTGGACAGGAAGGTGGGCCTGCTATTGCCAGGCATTGCAGGAATAATCCCATGGCACACACATACAACGTGCAAAGCTTTCCAGGGCTCTTCAGAGGTGATTCAGCTTGTCCCCAGAGGGGCCTCTCCTGCCCTCCCTTTCCTCTGCTGCTGGTGATAACAGAAACAGCCCCTGTGCCCTCAGCACAGCGTGCCAGCCTGCTGGGATGGGGCAGGGAAATTGGGATCTGCTGCCTGTTGCACATCCCTCCAAAGTTTGCTGCTTGGAGGGAGGATGTCCCCTCTGCCACGGGGACGTGGTGCTGCCTGTCCTGGGGCAGCTGGCCACAAGAGAAGAAGCCCCTCACAAGCTGCCACTGACACCAGGTACGTCCCCAGAGCTGCCTCTGCTCCTGTGCCTGGATCTGCCAAGCCTGCTGTTTGGTTCAGATTTATTTTTCTGTGGTGTCTTGTGAGTACTAAAAATTCTGTGTTGTAATAGTCTTGGCTTTGCTGGTGGGGACTCGACTTCCTGAGTGGTTTTGCTGTTGGATTGCAAGTGGGCTTGCTGGCATTTTCCAGGGAAATCACCCAGCAGCTGACAGAGCAGCTGGCTCAGCCCTGGGGCTGCAGCTGAACCAGCCCTACTCATTCTGGGGCTCATTCTAAATGGGCATTTCGTAGCCCCTTTAAAGGTGGGTGCTAAGAAATCAAAAGGTTAAATGTTTTCTCTTCCTGAGGCATTTCTTCTGGCTCAGCTCCATGTCCCACTGGGTTCCACTGACAAGCCTGTATTTAATTCCTGTGTCCCCTTGCCTGCTTCTCAGCACGGATGTCAGGGACTGCAGCAAACAGCTCCTGCACACAAGGTCAGAAGTGATCTGGGCACACCTGGCAGGTGACCCTCAGCCCAGGGCCCTGCCCCAGCTCTGCCATCCCAGCAGTGTCCAGGGCTGATCCTGGGACTGGGTGGGTGTACAGTCACACCCAGCCCTGACTCCAGTTTCATGGAAACACCCTTCACACGATCCTGCATCTATCCCTTGTCTAGGTTAAACTTCTAATGGCTAGGAAGGGCTGCTTTTGGGTGCTGGTGCTGGGCTGAACTCAGCCATTTCCCCCTGCCTGCTTTGTGCCTCCTGCTCTGCCCCTTTTTCAGCCTTCTCACCTTGTTCTTGCACAATCCAGAGGCACGAGGCAGCTCAGGCGCCTGCTGGGACATCCTTGTCCCCTGGGGCAGCCAGCACAGCCCTGGGACACCTGAGGCAGGGCCAGGGACACCCTCAGCCCTCCCTGTGCCTGCTGCAGGGGGTTCCCAGGTCAGGAGCCCTGGCACAGTCCTGTTTGAGATGCTGCAGCCCAGCCTTGGCCATGTGCTGCCCATTGCCAGTGGCAGCTGGGACCACAGCTGCAGGTTTTGGTTGGAGATGGTTCCCTCATCCCACAGCCCAGCCCAGGACACACTCTCCCTCCTGCTTGGTGGATTTAACCAGTGGATTTAACACTCTCCAAACTTCTGGAGTTTTAAAGCCCCAAAGCTGAACAAACCTTGCCATATTTCTGGAGTGAAATTCCCAAGTTCTGCTTGGGAGCAGGCACCTGACCCCTTTTTCTGCTCAAGCATCACATCCCAGCGCCAAGGCACGAAGTGGTGCAGTCTCCTTGGAGCTCTGCACATTGTGCAGTGCCCCTTGCCCTTTCATTCCAGGGTACAGGGACTATTATTAGACCTCTCCTACTGGGGCCGAATCCATAACAACAGCAAAACACACTCACAGCCCTGCTGGGCTTTTAAAATATTTACAGTGTAGGATGGTTTACTAAAGAGGGGGGCCTGGTAGAGCACAAAGACGGAAGCACCGGGATTTCTGTGCTCCCTGTGGGTTTGCTGTGAGGTTTCCTGCTGGGAGAGTCACATCCAGCGAGGAGAAAAAAATATCCCATAGGGCTGGAGCCAGCACTTCAGGTCAGGGGGTTTCCACCAACTGTCTGACAATATCCAGCTGGAATTTCAGCAAATTTTCCACTGGGTCTTGTCTGGGAACATGCGTGAGGGGCTGTACCTCAAAGAGGAAGAGCTCTGTCATGGTGTCATTGGGGTATTTTGTGACTGTGCTGTAAAGGCCTTGTTATGTCTCAGGATCCCCATGCAGGAGCTCAGATCCACGGCCAGAAACTGAGCTGAAGATGCAGCTGAGGATGAGGATGCTCCTGTTGGGAGCCCAGTCTGGCTGCAACAAGCTGTGTAAGGCTGGTGGCAGGGTCTGCACCAGACTCAGAGCTGCCCTGCTTTCCTGCTGGCCCTGTGCTCTGCACAGTGTGGTGGTGGTGATGGATCCCACTGGCCAGAACTGGCTCCAAACTGCTGAGCTCTGGCTTTCCTGGTTTGGTGAGAGAACAGGCAGGAGCAGGGCAGCAGCCTGATCTCCCACCAGGGCACATCCATCTCCTGTGCTGAGCAGCTTCTGTCCAGGCAAGAACAGCACAGAAAAGCCTCACCAGCCTTGAGTGATGAAGAGACATCACATTGGGTCTGGCACATCCATATTTATGGAAAGTTTTTGCTGTGGGATTCCTTGTAATAACTCTGCACCCTCAGGCTCTTACACTAAATATGATAAATTCAGCCAGGACAGACATCCCAGCTGCTCCAGCCACTGCAATGGCTTTGCAGGAACAGAGCTTCCAGCATTCTCTAGGACTTGCTGGAAAATTTTAATTCCTTCAGGAGGAGAGCAGATACAGCTGAGGTTCAGTGTCCACAAATAGATCCCTTCTTTTCATTTGGCCTGGTTTTACAGTATAAAGATCATTTAATGCCTGTGGAACTGATAACCAATTGCTCAGCCCCGTGTTTAAGATTAGGCTTAGACTGACTCCTCTATGACTTCACAAACTTTGTATTTAGCTCTGCCAAGCTCCCCAGACTCCTTCCCCTCCCTCCTGGCCTTCAGCACAGCCCCCCACTGCAGAGCCCTCACTGTCCCAAGGCACCTCCTGCTGTCCCACATCCTCACAGGCACTGCCTGCCTTCCCCCTGACGTCAGAAATGGTCCGGATTTCAAAACCTCAGCTGACCCTTGGCATGGGGCAGGGAGAGTCCTTGTGGGCTCTGCTCTGATCCCAGGGGAGCTTCAGGGAGGCAGGAGGGCAATGCTCAGCCCCAGTGGCCTCCTGTTAGCATCAGGATGTGTGGGTGATGGTGGGAGAGAGCTGCCTGTCTGTCCATCCATCCATCCATCCATCCATCCATCCATCCATCCATCCTTCCATCCATCCCTCCATCATCCATCCATCCATCCATCATCCATCCATCCATCCATCCATCCATCCATCCATCCATCCACCAGGAAGGCAGCCCAGTGCCCAGCTCTGCCCATGCAGTGCTGCCAGCCTGCATCCCCAGGGGATCTCTCTGTCAGTTCTCCCAAGGCACAGGTGCTGAGAATCTGTTCCAAAAATCCTCCACTGTAGCCATGATATTTTATGAAAAATACTTTGCTAGGATTTTTCTCTTGTTCTAGCTGAGAAGCCTCGGAAAAGAAATGTAATCAATTAACTATCTGATGGCTGTGGAATGTGGTCTGGACATTGTTTACCAACAGGTACATCTTGGACTGGTTCATGTGAGTTGTTTCTACTTAATAACCAATCAAAGATGCAGCTGCATTGGACTCTGAGAGTCACAAGCCTTTGTTATTCATTCTTCTCTTTTCTTTTTTAGCTTTTTGATGGATCCTTTATTCTTTTTAGTACAGTTTTAGTATAGCATTTTAATATAATATATATCATAATATAATAAAACAGCCTTCTGAAACACGGAGTCAAGATTCTCCTCTCTTCTCTTGTCCTGGCACCCTTGAACATCACCATATTCCACCACGGGAAGAATTGCTGTTTGATGGAGCCCCTCTGCTCCTCCCTCCCCTCACTACTGAGCCTTGATGCAGCTTAAGCCTCTTCTGCAGCCTCTAGCTAAGTTGATTAATGGAAATAATTGGTCTCTTTGTGCATCTGGAGACAGTTGCCGTGACAGCAGTTGTATTTTTGTTTTGTTCCCAGGTCGAGCTTGTTTTTCCCATCTCTCAGCTCCAAGGTGCTAATGAATCTGGGCACTGCGGTTCAGCTCCCTCCCAAAGACACACATGCCTCTGAGGGATGGGTGACAGTGGGGACAGGGCATGCTGAGCCCCAGCAGGCCTTCAGGACATGGCAGGCTGGCACCTTTCTCCCTGCCCATTTTCACCCCCCCCAAGGCAGGATTGTACTGGATGGACACAGAGCTGTGGCTTTGCAGGGCAGAGAGAAGAGAGCCAAATTCCTCATGCTCACCCAGAGCAGCCATGAGCACCCACGGGACCCTCTGTCCCCTGCAGGGACCCTCTCAAAGCTCTAAGGAGTCTGGGTCTATGAGTCCCTTCTTCATTACTTTTATCTTCTCACCATTTCTTTCTTATTTGCTTTTATGTGTCAATGTGTTTTTACACAAACAGCTGTGTGGAAGACCTGCTTGTGCCTGAAGCTACAAAGCAGACAAGCCACAGACCAGGGGCCCTTGGGCTGCAGAAGTGCCACAGCTGCTGTGGCAGGCAGGTCCCCTGTATCCTCCCCGCTGTGATATCACCCTGTCACACCCAGGCCACGGGGTGAATTCCTGTGCAATGGAGATCCCCTTCAGCCTTGGGTTCCCTGCCTTCCTCCACATTGTTCATGAAGAAAAGTCCCAGCTGGATTCCCCCTCAAAGGCTGGAGAATCCCCAGCAGCCCCACAGCTCAGAAGAGCTGACCACACTGAGGCACCAACCTCTGAGTGAACATCACCCTCTAAAAGCCCACTTGAATTCCTGGCCCAGGGATGCTCGACCCCAGCACAAGCTCCCCAATACCTTGCAGGCTTCCCTGGGTAAGGAGGAGTCAAACAAGTGCTGAGGAGATGCAGCTGGGGCTATTTGCTAGCACAGCTGCCTTGTCACATATGAGAGGCAGGCAAAGCCACAGCAGCCTTGGATGGTGTAGCTCTTTCTGGGATGGGGGAGACGTCTCTACAAGGACAGAGGTAAGCAAGGATGAGTCCTTATTTTTCTGCCTAAAATGAAACAGAGCTATGTGGTCCAGCTGTTCTTTGTGATCTGAGGAGCTGAGCTCTGCTGCTGTGGGAAAGCAGGGCTTGCACGACTGGGGAGGGGAGCTTGGAAGAGGAGCTGTGAGGGCTGTAACTGGGCAGGTTTGGCTGCTGCTGCCTGGGGAAGCTCTGCTCAGCACAGGGTGCCTGGAGCTGAGAGCCACCTGCCTTGGCTCTGCCTCGGTGGGGCTTGCACAATCCCACAGGAATTTGCATCCAGCATCCAAAGAGTGCTCCTGACTCAGAGCAGTGCAAGGGGCTGAGAGAAAGGCTGTGAAGCCTCCTGGGGGTGCCAGCCCTGGCAGCTCCCAGGTGCCTAAAATTAACCAGGGCACCTCTTAAGAGTGTCAGTACAGAATGAAGCTGATTAGCAAAACCAGGCTTGGCTCTGCTCCCTGGAGTTGGCTGCCCTGTGTGTCTGCTCCACTGCAAGGAAAGCCACTGGTGGGACCCCCACCCTGGCACAGGGCAGTGCTGGCTGTGACAAGGGGATCTCCCTGTGAAAGGGAGATCTGTCTTTGGTGGCTGGGATGGTGCTTCTGGTGCTATTCCCCCAGAAAAGGGAAGTGTTGGGGTTCAGAGCAGGCTGGCAGCGAGGGGTGGCTGAGGCTCCAGGTGGCTCCATGGCTTCTGTTGCCCAACAGAATCAGGAGCCCCTCTGGCTGTGCTGCCCTGCTGGGACCCCTGTCTGGGCAGGGAAAGCTCTGCAGGCCTGCACACCTCCTTTGCTGAAGACTTCTGTGATGGATTTCTGTCTCCTTGTAGCTGTGTCAAGTGACAGCAGCTCCTCATCCTTCCTGCAGGCAGGGTAAATCTTTCTGCCCGAGTTCCCAGGGATGTGACATCCAAAGCTGAGCTGAAGTGGTGCTGGAGAGGTGCCTGTAGCACTGCCCTGGGGATGCTCAGTGATCACTGCCAGCTGTAGTCTCAGGAAAGGAAAGCTCCCAGTAAAATCAATTGCCAAGTATTTCATGTGCAGCCTGGGCACAGCAGGACACAGGGTGTCTGCAGCACATGTAGGGAAGGTGCAGGTTGCAGGAGATGGACTGCTCTGAGACACCTGCAAGAGCAGGGATGTCTGTGTGCACCAAACAGTCCTGAGATCCTGCACTGCAGAGCTCACCCAAAACAGCCCTGGGAGCTCTGTGCAAGGGCCAGCACAGGACAAGGGAGAGCAGTGATCTGAGGCAGAGGGATGCTCCGAGTGCAGGAGCCACAGGTGAAACCACAGAGGGGACTTGCCATTTATGCAGGAGCTGTGAAAGATTAAGCTCTGGGGGTTCCCTGGATCTTGCTGGGCTGACTCCACATGCAGAACAGAACTCCCATCCTTATGGACAGGCAAACAATATCCCCCTGCAGAGCATCTGGCCAGCCTTTGGCAGGATTTGCTCAGCACATCCCCATGGCTGGCAGGGAGAGGCCATGGAGCACAACTGGCACTGGGGCTGCTTGGAGTCAGAGCTGAAACGTGGCTTGGTACAAGGACATGGTGTGAGGTGTGGATAATACAGCAGGAAAGTCATTATGGCAGAATTGTTGGTATATTTTTTCCTCTTAGCAGCTTTCTATCATCTAGTAGTTCAGAATACAGAGGGAGGTCAAGTGACTCAATGCTACAGGAAGGAAAAAACCCATTTCTGTTTGCAATATTTCCCTGTGAATAAAAGCTTTATGAGCCATAATGTGAGTTCCTACCTGATTTAGAGGACTTTCCTTCTGGACATGACTTCAAACACGCTTCATGCACAGCAGGACAACAGCTTCTGGGAAAGAAGAAGGAAAAAAAAAGTAAGAAAACAATTTCTGTGCTTGTTTTGGGAAGCATAAGCTCAGCTGCTCTTCCCACTCTCTGGGACCAGGATAGCAGAGGGGTGGCAGGGCTCTGCCCAGCTGGAGCACATCCCAGGGGCTGTGGGATGTTCTGTTCATATGGCACCTCCTCAGGGGGGTTTGTGCTAATGGACTCGGGCTGTTGTGTTAAAGCACATGGAAAGTCCACACAGAGAAGTCCTCTTTGGTTTTGTTTCTTTCTTTGCCCTCCCACAGGTGCTGGGAGCACTGGCACAGCTCATGTCCTGCCCTGCCCTGCAGGGACAGCAGCTGCCTCCAGACTATAAATGAATATTGGTTTGCAGCCCTGCTGCCCTTTAAAGAAGTGAAACTCCTTTATCAGCTTCCCTGAGGTGAAAGGGGAAGTTTAATCTGGTTCTGGTCGCTTTGCTGGGTCTGTGTCCAGCTCTCTGGGTCTCTGCTGTTTGTGCACAGCTGAGCCTCCTCCTGCTGTCCCCAGGCCCTGCTCAAAGACATTTCCTCTGTGGCCTCAACATCTGTGGGTGCTTTGCAATCCCCTGACCTGCAGAGCCCAGCCAACAGGACACTTGCTTATTTTAGCAGCTGTTTCAGCTTTCTGACTATTTTGGAACATCATGGACTGTGTTTTTCCCTTTGTCCCAGGGACAAATGTTAGCAGAACAGAAATCAAGAGATGAGCCACTTAACCATATAAGCAGTAGCTCATGCAGCAATTCATCTGTCTGGTCCATCTGGGCTGAGTACCACTGTGACTGGAACTATTTCCCATCATTTTCCAAACTGGGACAGATCTACAGCCTTTCTCTTTATTTTTTTGACCCACTTTCAAAACTTTGTAGTTGGAGCCGACTACTTGCTGGCTCTGGCCCTGCTTCAAGGACAGGGCACTTGCTGCTTTCATGTGTCAGTTTGCCCATCTGTTAAATGGAGCTATTAATACTCCCTCCCCCTGTTAGATGCTTCAAATATTTTAAAGCACTTTCAGCTCTGCAGATGACAGGCTTGCAGAAGTGGAAAATGCTAATTATGATCATGACAGGAGCTAAACAAAGACACAGGGATTTAACAATAAACTTTTGTTAGTCTTAACCCCATTTATAGCAAAGTGCTTACTGGAAACACTGGACCGGAAAAGCAACAGTATTCCCACAACTCTGGGAATATGCACTGCCCTTTTCTGGCACCAAACAACCAAACAAAAGCAGGAAGGAAGAAACACAGCTTTGGAAATCCACAAGTCTTTATTTTCCTCCTTTGCCTTCCTGCCCTGGCTTGTGTGTTACTCTGCCCAAACAGTTAAACCTCCAGCACTTCAGCAGTGTTGCAAAATATCTCAAAACACGTGGGCCTCTGCCAAGAGAGGCTTAAAGTAAACTGGAGCAATGATGCTCTGAAGTAGAAGTTGTCACTGAGCAGCCTGTTCGTGATGGGACATGATGGGAAACCCCCATTTTCTCTCTCAAAAACCAGCTGATTTTGGAGAGAAAATCTCTTTAGCAGCTGGTATTGGCTTTCCAAGCCTGCAGGCCTGGCTCTACCTATGTGTTCCTCCCCACAGCCCTTGCTTGGGCATTTGGAGTGTGAAGATTTGAAGCTGACCCTCTTGCTCCATCCTCAAGGGCTCATCCTCCTCTGGCTCACCTGGTCCTGCTGCTCCCAGGGTGATGGGCAGAGCTCCAGAGGCCCCTCAGCCCAAAGGCCAGGCTGTTTGCAACTTTAATGGTGGCACAAGGATTGGTGCCACCTAAGGATGGGCTACAGTGAATTGTTAAAGAACACTTTGTTTTGCAGTTCAGTCCTGGAACACATCAAGGTACCATGGATTATTCTGAGATCCTAGTGGAAATGTTCACTGGCTAGATAAGCATCCATAGCCCATCAGGAATGAATTACAAGGGAATCAGCATAGAATTATAGAATAATTTAGATTGAAAAATATATTTAAGGTCATCAAGTCCACCACTAAGGCATGTCCCCAAGTGCCACATCCATACATCTTTCTAATATCTCCAGGGATAGTGACTCCACCACTTCTCTTGGCAGCCTATTTCAGTGTTTGACAGCCCTTTTGGAGAATAAATTTTTCCTAATATTCAACCTAAACCATCCCTGGTGCAACTTAAGACCATTTTCTCTTGTCCTATTCAGTGTGCATGATTGCACATGTTTGAGGTTCAGATTCCCTCCATGGTGATCAGCTGTTACCCAAAAAGAGCAAACACATGGAACAACCTTAGTTCTCTCAGCATTGCTTCAAAATGAATGCATGTTCCAAAAAAACCCACCCCAGAATGTTTTTTTGGCAGAATTCAAGACTATTCTACACAACAGCTGTTGTGGTGCTGCTTTGATCCAGAGAGGAAATCCTTCCTGGTTTCAAGCAAGGTGACAGCAGCAGAGAGAAGGTTGTGCCTGTGTCTCCTGGCTGCTGGGTAAACAACAGGCTGCATGCATGGCTGAGCAGGGCAGCAGCCTGGTCCTCCCACAGCAGCCAGACTGCCTCATTTAGTGCCCTGTCTCCAGCAGCAGCTGGCATCCCCGGCCTCAGACGGACAAGAAAACCTCTAATTGTAATGGAATGCTTTTCATAAGTCACTAATGAGTCTGAACCAGGAGGTGTTACAACCCTTACAATGCAATATCCTCTTAATCATAGCCAGGATTGTTTTGTTACTGAGATAACTACCTGATAGCCATTAAAATACCTTCGGAGCTCTTTGCTGCACTGGTATCTCATGGCAATGAGCACCACAGATTAATTACACTTTGTGGCAACAGTAACTCCAGTAAAGTTGGTGACGCTCTGCTGGGGATATGTTTGGCTTATTACGTCACTGCAAATATCAACAGAAATGGCATTTCGGTGCCGCCAGGGAGTTCCCAGCAGGGTTTGTGACCGGCAATGTCCCTGCATGGAGGAGCTGTGCAAAGAGCACCCGGCCTCGCTGGGCTCTCCTGGGAGGGGAAGTGCTGGGGAACTCGCTGTGGAAACTAGAAATGACTGGTGTAAAGTACATATTCCCTCAGGCTCAGAGAGTGAGAGTTTTGAAGTGGGGCCCAGGGCAGTTCATAGTCCAACTGCTGCTCTTCCTGCTTGTGCTGCAGGTTCCAGGCAAGGTCTGGAGCGATCTCAGCCTCCCTAAATGCCACCATGAGGAGCTTGGGACAAGACTGCCCATGAACACATGAACCTTCCCTTCTCCCTGCCTGGTGCTGGCTGCTGGCAAGCCTGGGGAGCAGCTTTCCTTATGACTTGTCTCTTTCTAGTCACAAGCAGAAGACAGCTAGAAGCAGTGGGCTTTTTCCCCTCTCATCCTCTCAGAAATGGAAGTTGTGATAGAAAACTTATTTTCCAGTTCAGTCCATATAAACAGCTTTGGTGACATTAAAGAAACCCCTAAGGGTGTGGAGAAATAATTGGAATGTGAAAACTGGAGCAATCAGAACAGGGTGACACAGGCAAACAAAAAGCCAGGCTGAAGCTTCTGCTGTTCCTTATGGCTTTGCAGGTCTGGCCCCCATTCTGCCACAGGCCTGTGTGAGCCCAGGGAAATGATCTGCTTTGTGTGAGACCCATGTCAAATAGGAATGAGGCTGGTGCTTGGGTGCCCAGACAGGCTGAAGGCATTAATGCACAGTAGTGTGCTGCAGGAACTGGCTCTGAAATGCTGGAGATCAGGAAATGTTAGCAGCTTGGAAAACGTCTTCCATTGTTAATTTGGGTGGCAAGGCTGTGTGCCTGTGGGAATTCCTCTGAATGGGATCAAAAGTACATTGATTTTTCTTTGGAATGAGAGGAAAAAGCACAACTCCTCATCTAAGCTCATCATGAGCCTGTACACCCCTCAGAATCAGGTACAGAAGTGCCAGGTGGTTGGAAGATGCTGTGAACATTCCTGGGTTTCATCTCTTCATCACCAAGCTGCCCATGTACTGTAGCTAATGGTCTCCAGTTCTCTGAGGCATCTCAGGCTACACTCTGGGGAAAGTGTCCCCCAAAACGATGGCATGGGGTGCTCACATCCCATGGAATTCTGTCTGAAGGACTCAGTGCTGTGTTCTGTGCCCAAGGTACATTAAGTTCTATTGGTACATCCGTGTTTATAAATGGCCTTTTAACCTGAATCCACACTATAAACAAATGAAGCCATTGAGGATCTCTTCATGGATCTTTCTGAAACACCGTTGCTCACAAGAGCTGAAAGGTGGCAATTTCTTGGCTGGGTGGCCACACATTAGCAGGGTGGCTCTTTCCATCCAAGAGTCTCTGGAGCCAAGCACTGCCCCACACCAACCAAGCCAGGCACGCCGAGCAAACAGCCCAGAGCTCGAGGGGCTGTCACCCTCGAGGGGCTGTCCCCACGGGAGAGCCTCAGCCACCCAACTGAGCCGTACCCACCCCACAAATGTCCCTTCACCCTGGCACTGCAGCAGCAGCCCCGCTGTGTCTGGCTGTGCTCACTGACCCCAGCTTGTCCTCCTCCCAGTTTGAGTCACCAGCACAGCCACCCAGGCCATTGCCTCTGGGTTCACTTGGCTCTTGATCTGCAGAACCATTCACCCCTTCCAAGCAGAGGGAAATTTCCCAAACACGCCTTTGGGGCCAAGGCATTGCATGCATGTGAAAGCTCCCCACCACGGCTCGCCACCAGCTGCTACGGGGAATCCAGAGAGAGGAAAGACACACGGCTTCGAGGTGGAGGAATTTGCAAAGCCTCTTGAGAATACCACCGCACAGCAGTTCTTTTTTTATCCCAAGTCTTTGCCTTTTCAAACATTTGCTTGGAAAGCCGGATGCTAGCGAGGCTCCGAGCCTGCTCCTGCTGCCACTCTCCGAAAGCTCTGCTGGTGCAGTTGCGAGGGCAGTGCCGGGCAGCCCGGCTCCTGGCATCCCGAGGGATGGATGGATGGATGGATGGATGGATTCCCTCCCAGCGCTGCCGGACCTCCAGCACGCCCGCTCCCGTGCGAGCACAGCGTGGAAGGGATTCCCTCGGCACACCGCTCACAATGAATGTTGGAAAAGAGGCCAGAAATCCCCACGGGGGTCACTGATCCACGGTGCTCTGTGGTTTCCGTGCTCTGAGCCCTGCTAGCCCGTGGCGGCAGCGCTGACCCGCGTTATTTCCCGAGCGGAGGAGCCGCCGGCTCCCTCCCTGCCATCGGCGCCTTCTCCCTGCCAGCAGCACAGGAACCGGGATGCAGCTCTGCCTTTTGAGCCCGCGGTCTGCCGGCAGCAAAGCCCTCGCTGCTGGCACTCGGGGGGGTAAAAGTTCACCGTGTCTCCCCTCAGAGCCCGCTCGTGGCAGGAGAGCTCCCGGGCAGGTGTCCCTGTCACCCACCGCCCCAGCCCCTCGCCCCAGCGCAGCCCCACTTACAGCCCCGGCTCCGAGCCCCGCGCCCAGGCAGGGATCGCTGGATCGCGCCCTCCTGCCCTCCAGCCGAGCCGCCCAGGAGCCCCGCCGCCGGCTCCAGACTCGCACTTTCCTTCTGCTGGGAGCTGCTAAATGAAGTTGCACTTGTGGGGCCAAGGGGCGTGTTCTCCTCCCCTCGAGCCAGTCCCTCCTGCTGTAATCCAATGCTCTGCCCGATGATGTCAAGCAGCTCCCGCTCGGCTCCTACCTTACAGGAGGGATCCGTTTCCTTTGCACAGCGATCTTTGTTTAGCTTCGGCTTGTAACCCCATCCCCCGGCAGCTGCGTGAGCCCGAGCATCCTCCCTTCGATGCTCAGCGCTGGGGTTTGTGCTGCCGGGCGCTCCCTCCTGCCTGCTGCTCCCCCCGGTTTCCCACCTGCATCCCACCCTTCATCCCCTCCGCCAGGCCTGGCCAGAGACACCATCACACCCCGTGCTGAGCTGTCCCACAGCTGTCCCTCGGTGAAAGTGCCTCCCAAGAAAAACCCAGCTTTGTGTTGTTCTGGAGTGCTTCTTGCTCCACTGCCTCCCACGGAGTAAACCCAGGAGTACTTCAGCTCACCTGTATTTGGGGTGAAGGGCAGAGCTGGCTGGTGACAGCACCTGGATTAAAGGGGAAGCTGCAAAGGAAGTACCCCATGTAAAACACACACCTCTGTACCACGCTGCTGTGGGAAGCACACCCTGGGAGCTCTCAGGGAGCTTGAGGTCACTACAGAAGACAAAATTTTGGATGCTCTTGGTACCACATGGATTGAGGAATGTCCCTCTAGCTGGCATCACCTCCTGGTGTCCCACCAGCCTTGCAGACCCCACCGGGTGGCTGAAACCAAGCAATCAAGGTGGTTGCAGTGATCCTCTGGGCCTGAGCTCCTGCCCGGCCCCACAAGTGTGGAGGGAAGGTGTGTGAGCACACAGGAATGTGCACAGTGCTGCCTGCTCCTGCCTGAACGCTGGCTGGGACAGCGCTCATTAGTGCTAATAGCTTTGCTGAGAGAGTGGAAGATTTGCTCCATCCCTGCCCTAAGAACACTCAGGTCCTTGCAACTCAGCTGGGGAGCACAAGGGGTGTTTGCCAAGGAATGGATCCAGTCCCCACTCGAGCTAGGCGAGTTTTTGTTTCAGGTTGCATGCAAAGTGAGTGGTGTGAGCCAGGAGCACTTTCCCAACTCAGTGTCTCACTGAGCACCAGGCAGGCACAGAAGCTGCATCTCTGCATTCCTGCAGCTCTCCCATGACAGATGGGACCCAGAGCCACCCAGTGCCAGGTGAAAAGCATCAGCCTCTCCTCCCACCCCAGCACCACCCTGCACATTTGGACCTTTTCCACCAGTGCTGCCATCACCACCTCCAGCCAGAATCTCCGTGTGGCCAAGAACGTGGTGGTTCCTGTGACAGATACCCACAGGATCAGAGGAAGAGATAAAAACACCAACAACAGCAGCAAGCAGCACAGGAAACACCCTGATGACAATACTGTGGCACAGATGAAGGGGAGTGGACCTCAACAGAGCCAAACACACCCATGCTCTGTGCATCCCTAAACCAACCTTGTGCAGCCTCCTGACTCAACTCAGTTTTAGGTCAAAAGCAGCCCCAAGAAGCCCACTTGATTTCCTGAGGTGCGTTGCCTGGCAGAACTCATCTCTCTCCAACCGTTTTGAGTCACACATTGCTGCTGCTCACCCAAAAGTAGCAGTAAGGGATTCACCACAATGCCCTGCCTGTCTTCCTGAGTTGCCAGGGAGGGAGGAGGGCTCTGCTGTGCCAAGGGCCAGCACAGCCTCAGGAGACTGCTGTGCTGGTCTGGCCAAGGCTGCAGTTTTCCCTTTACTCCAGCTTACATTTGAAAAGGAGCCAGGAGGTTATAGCTTCACACTAACACTGGGACCACAGGGTTTGGAGGCCAAGTCTGGTACAAACACAAGTGCTACCCCAGTTACCCAGGCATTTCCTTGGCAGAACGTGGCCAGTGCCATTACAAAACAGACAACAAAGAACAATGGCAACAGCCAAGTCTTTTGGAAAGCCAGGAGCTCAGTGTATGTACTGCTAAATTAAGACATGTCTTGTCTTGCTCAAATCTCCCAGTCCTGTGTGTGGTCCTGGAAACAAGCCCCCCAAAGCACCTACCACAAAGTCCATCCTTTTCTGCACACACTTGTGTGTCCTTACAGGGACTTTCTCATCTAACACCATCCCCTGCAAGGACAAGTCAAATATTTTCTATCAAATCTCATTTTAAGTAAAAAATGCAGTTTCAGTTTTTCTACAGACTGTATTTCTTTTTGCAAGTGGGAAAAGAGGTGGCATCCCCATGATGCCAAAAAGTTTGCCTGAAACCTTACCTTTATCTATTAGGATAAAATGCATGGCTTTCAGTGTATTCAATCTTCCTGTTCTTAAGCAAAAGCTGACATTTTACAATAATGCACCCTAACATCTAGGTGATGCTCATGCTCACCATCCTGTTGCTTTGTGCACCGTTCATCCCGAGGTGATGGGCAGATGTCAGAGCTGCCTGGCGTGGCTCGCCCTGTGTCATGGGTGGTGTCACAGCCTTGAGCTGACTGACTCAGCTGCAGCCACAATCAGCCTTTAGTGGCCCCTGCTTTACTCACATGTTTATTTTGGTGAGGTTGTTGTATCCATCTGCCTCATACTGCGCTGTCCTGCGTAGTCCAGGATCAATGGTGATGCCATTACCACTCTGGACAACTGGAGCTTTGGCTCTGCTGCTTTTGACCTTGCAGTTGGTCTGCAGTGAACTGTGAATTATTTAGTTCTGTGACACAGAGAATGCCCCAGGGAAAGGATGGTCTTGGGCTGGCTAGCAGCCCTGCTGAGGGTGCCACCTTTGCTACTCTGCTGATGGGAGAGCACGGCTCAGGGAAGAGCAAGAAGCAGGCTGACTGTCAACCTTTAGCTGGAGGAGGGACAAAACCGAAGCAATCTTAGAGGGCAAATGTCAAAATGAGGTGAGAGTATCCCCGGGGGTGCGATGTGAAGAAGCCCAGCCCGGAGCAGGGCTGCCGTGCCGGACTGCACGCTGCCTGCCCCAGCAAGGAAAGCCACCAGCACAAAGGACACTCCGGGAAGCTCTGGAGCCCAAGGAGACAGGCTGTCACTCCAGAAGGGTCTGACCTGCCTCTGACCCGAATGTTTTCACAGCCTAAGCCTCTCTTCCCCGAGAAGGCCGTGCTGCCAGGGCGGGGGCAGCCGCCGGTGTAGCACGCAGCCTCCCCACGTAAGAGCAGCTTCCCCTGCCTTTCCCAGGCATTGAGGGCTCTTGATGTCATCAAGATTGCAAGGAAATGTGGAATGGCACAAGATACGCATGGAAAAAATGGGACAACCTGTTTTTTTTTCCAGACTTCCTCTCATAAAACAAATACTCTAAACAAACTATTTTTGATCCAAAAACCCCACAGAACATATTTCACTGATGTGCTGGGCTCCCCAAGGCAAGAGTGAATATCTTAAGCCATCAAATAACAGCTTCACTTGGAGATTCATGAGAAGAGAAAGCAACAAGTAAAAGCAGCTTTAGTGACAAGCCACTCTTTTTGCTGTCAAGGGAGGGACACGGTTTGCTGTTGATCAGGGAAGAGAGGGTGGGTGTTGGGATGTCTGAATGACTTACCCGGTGTTCAGACCCATTTTGTTTTTATAGAAGTTGCTCATCCAGAAAGGTTCAACAAGTGAAACACAAGAAAGCTTGTAATGAGGCTAAACTCATTAGTGACCCCCTCCAGGGTCACCCCTGTTAAGGGGCAGGGCTGAGGAGCTGGGCAGGGCTGTGGGGAGCCCCTCTGGGCACTGGGACCGTGGGGACACGGTTGTGGCTGCTGGCATGGTGGCTCTGTGCAGGGCTGGCATTCCAGCAGGGCAGAGCACACTCAGAAAACTGTTTACTTTGAGCTGAAGCTATTTTTAGCCGCACTAATCTGTGCAGAGATGATAAAGCTTTTCATTGCGAAGTGAGTGGCTGTGCTTTGCTTCTGGGCAATTTCACTCCACGAGCTCATCCCTTCCCCCTTCCTGGCCACTTCTTTCCACTGACCTTATCTCCTCTGCCTCTGTGCCAAACACCTCCAAAAGGTTTGTCCCAGCTAGATACGTGGGAGTCTCAGCCCACAACTTTTTTCATTTTTCCCTAGGGAACTGCTACAGTTTAGAAAATAAATTAATTTTGTGTTTAATAGTCCCCAAAGCCTAGTTCCAAGGCTTTGGTGGAAGCCCAGCATGGACATGCACCTTCTCATCTTTCATTTCTGAAAAATCCCTTCCGTCCAAAGGCTCTTGCAAAAGAAGTCACTTGACAGCAAAAGAAAGAAGTCACTTGACAATTACCTCTTTGCAGCTGCAAGGAATACAAGCAGATCTCCAACTCGGATCTCATGGCAAGCCACAGTCCCCAGGCAGTGACAGACTGCCTACACCACCTTTTTCCCAAGGGGTCCCACAGCCCATTCCAAAGTCCCTCACACACTCCCTACAAGAAGCACTTTACCTGCTGCTGATAGGAGCAAGCACGGCGGCTGGTTCAGGGCACAAAGGCTACAAAACATGCAGAAATCCTGCTTGGTCAGGGCTTTGTTTGTCTAAAGGACTCCAGAAGCTTCTCCAGTGTAAACCCACAAAGGTCACACATCCAGCACATGCTTCATCAGAAAATCATCCCTTGTGGTAAAAGCCTTCTTGCCTGGGACACAGCATGAATTGTGTCTCTGTCGGCTCAGAGTGTGTTCAGAGGGGGGAAGAACATGCAAGTATTAATTAAATACGTTCAGGGAGGGGTCAGATATACAGAAAATGCTAAAAATTATTGTCAGGATGAGAAGGTGCAGTAGGAGAGGTATTGCTTAAGCTGATCATGACTGCTCAGGTGTTACTGGCAGGTAAGCAGGAGATGCCCTGAGGTGCACAAACAGGCACTTGTTCCCTTTGTCCCTCTGATTCTGACAGAGAATATAGCTGGAAGAAATCAAGGAGCAGGCTGAGTTGGCAGCTGTGCTTCTCCCTTTTGAAGAGCAAAGGGGTTTGCTGATAAATGAGAAGCAAATAGTCATCTCTGTCAGTGTTTAATACATGCCAGAGCCACCCAGCCAACAGCTGATT